ACAAAACGTAAGCCTTAATTTGAGGGAACTCTTCAAAAGATGTTTTGCAACATATTCGGGTTTAGTTCTTCAGCTTTATTAATGCCAGGAAGGAATTAGTGTTTTGTAGCAGCGATGGCATTTTAGCCGTTCAGCAAAACTGAGTCACTCAAAGGTGTTGACATGAGTTTGATAGCAAAATATAAAATTAATTGAACATTCTGCTGTGTTGAGTTAGCTTCTGGATAAGAATAGAATAGAATAGAATAGAATAGAATAGAATAGAATAGAATAGAATAGAATAGAATAGAATAGAATAGGGGAATGGAGTGGAGTAGAGTAGAGAGTAGAGTAGAGTAGAGTAGAGTAGAGTAGAGTAGAGTAGGAACAGAACAGAACAGAACAGAACAGAACAGAACAGAATAGAATAGAATAGAATAGAATAGAATAGAATAGAATAGAATAGAATAGAATAGAATATGGAATGGAATACAACAGAACAGAATAGGAGTGGAGTAGAGTAGAGTAGAGTAGAAACAGAACAGAACAGAACAGAACAGAATAGAATAGAATATGGAATGGAATAGAATAGAACAGAACAGAACAAAACAGAAGAGAAGAGAAGAAAAGAAAAGAGAAGAGTTGGAAGGGACCTTAGAGGTCTTCTAGTCCAACCCCCTGCTCAGGCAGGAAACCCTATACCATTCAGACAAATGGTTGCTATTTCAGAGAAATATTAAATAATACAAAAGAAACAAATTCAAAATACATTTTCCTGTACATAATTTGGTCGGGAATGTTTCTCTTCATTTTGGCCAATTAATTTCTTTTTATTTCAGTCTTTTTTTTCCCCTTCCGTTTAATTGTCTCTGATTCTTGGAGATTGCCTGGACAAGTCCTTGCAGTTTTCTCGGCAAGGTCAGCCAAAGCAATAAAACTGGCTATAAATGTCAAGGAACTTGCACAGCTGTGTTTTTAAAAGCATCCAGGGGACTATCTAAGTGTGACTGTGATTACAATAAATTGGACAACACATCTAGAGATATCCAGAGACTTGCCAAGATGAGGGAAGCGGGAGGGTAGGAGAGGCTGCGAGTAGCTCCCACATTTTGTAGACAAGGCAGTGGAAAAATAGGAGCCAGCTGTGTGCTGCAGCTGCCAAAAAAGCCAATGCAGTCTTAGGCTGCATCAACAGAGGGATGGTTTCAAGATCACATAAAGTGTTAGTTTTGCTTTATAATGCTTTGGTAAGACCACACTTGGAATATTGTGTCCAGTTTTGGTCACCATGATATTAAAAAAACCGCTAAGGCTTTAGAAAAGGGCAGAGAAGAGCAACCAAGATGATTAGAAGAGAAGAGAAGAGAATAGAACAGAATAATGAAGAAGAGAAGAGAAGAGAATAATATAGAAGAGAATAGAACAGAATAGAAGAAAGAATAGAATAGAACAGAATAATGAAGAAGAGAAGAGAATAATGAAGAATATAATAGAATATAATACAAAGAATAGAATAGAACAGAATGAAGAATAGAATAGAATAGAATAGAACAGAACAGAATAATGAAAAATAGAATAGAATAGAATAAGAAGAGAGAATAGAATAGAATGAGAATAGAGAATAGAATAGAATAGAATAAGAAGAGAGAATAGAATGAGAATAGAAAATAGAATAGAATAGAATAGAATAGAATAAGAAGAGAGAATAGAATAGAATGAGAATAGAGAATAGAATTAGAATAGAATAGAATAGAAGAATATAGAATAGAATGAGAATAGAGAATAGAATAGAATGAGAATAGAGAAGAGAATAGAATAGAATAGAATAGAATAGAATAGAATAGAATAGAATAGAATAGAATAGAATAAGAAGAAAAAATGGTACAGGGTCCCCTGCTTAAGCAATGGGATGGATTGGAAAAATGACCTACAAGGTCCCTTCCAACTCCTGTTATTCTATTCTAGCATGTTGAGTTAGCCTATGATTCAACTCAGACCAGGTTGACGAACCACATCAGGCCATGAGTCGATAGCCCATCATTCTGCAAATTTGGGTGACGATTAGTCTTCCATGAGTATATAAAACTATTCTTGAGGGTCTTCGAGACTAACCCTAAAAAACAGCATTTAAGACCAGTATTTCGGGCAAAAAACAAAAAAAAAAGCCACGTGCAAATCAACACAGACATTAAGCCAGATTCTAATCTCAGCGTTCAAGACTCACTGGGACACTTGCGCCGTCAGAAAACGTAAATCGGTTGCCTGGATGGGTGTCGCGTCTTGGTGGTGACAATCACTGTGCCGTAGGGCTGGTGAACCTTTGCCCTGAACATTGTTGTGGCAGCAGACATGGGCCATTATGACTTTGCAAGTTTGGGGTCCTTGCTAGGTTTTCTCTTTGGAAAAAAAAATATGTACCCAGATATTTAAGGCCTTTAAATAGTGGCGTGGTGGCCTAGAGGTGGAGTTCTCGCCCCACAGCCACGAGTATCGCGAGTTCGATCCTAGGTAGCGGCAGATATTTTTCTCTCTGAGCACAATGAGTCATTGTCTGCTGTGAACTCCGCGGAGGCATCGGGAAGGGCACCCAGCCAGTAAATGCTCAGCTCCAATCAGCTGCCCCAACCCCACCTGGAAGCAAGAGATTGCAGGTTTGTTTAAAAGAAAAAAATAATAATAAGGCCCTTGTAGGGCTTAAATGTTACAGCCATCGATTCTCCAGGGGTGGTCATGAGGAACAGGCCTTTCATAAAACCTTAGTTTCATTGTAGTTAACCGCTCTTTGCTTCTCCTTCTTGTTGGCAAGGAAACAAAGGCTCCATCGGAGGCTGGCTTGTGCTTTGGGTCATTCAACTAAATCAAACCCTTTAAATACATTGACAGATTCTCGGGGGACGTATTAATGCTGTGTTGAATGGAGATGGGTTGGAAAGGAGAAAAAAAAATGCATCTCAACAACGCAAGAAAACGATTTTCAGAGGGCGACCACTGAGTAACAGCTCGGCCCCTGAGTGTTTCTGATGAGGTCATGGCTTGTGATATTGCACTGATGTAAATGCAACCCTAGTCTTTTTGGGTTGTTAAGACAAATCACCCAGGGACCTATATAATTCCTTCCTTCCTTCCTTTTTTTTCTTGACGTGTCCGCGCAGAAGCAGAATAATAGTTAGGCCCCCGGTGCATTGTACGATTTGACAGATGTGCTATTAAGTATGGAACCGAGGCTGCTACCAGTAGTAATATTGGCTTTTTTTTCTTCTTCTTCCACTGGGTTCAAGCAATGAGTTAGCTCTTAACAGCCATGAATAGGCGTGGGGTTCTCAGCATAATACCCACAAGCCAGTGGATTATTGCGGAAGCCTTTCCATTATTAGTCAAAATGAAACTTAAGCCAGACAGAATAAGGAAGACAGATCAAATGTTTGGGGTGATTTATCAGAATTCCATTTTTAATACTCTGAAGTTAAGAGTATTAGATTGAAATTTCAGCTTTAGCCTGGTGTTGCCTCACACCCTCCAGCCAAGTTTTATAGAGTCTATTAGATCAGGGCTTTTCAACCTTTTCACCCATTGTACCACTTTTAGGATATGGCAACATCCGAGTACCACCAGTTCGCCTAGCAAGGTGCCAAAAACATGATGTTCCCAAAAAAAAAAAAGGAAAAAAGTGATAAAGTACAGGTAGTCCTGGACTTACAATAGTTCGCTTAGTGACTGTTTGAAGTTACAATGGCACTGAAAAAAGTGCCCCCCAAGCCACAGCCGAGCAAGACGCCTGCCTGCCCGCTCTTCCTCCTGTCCGAGGTTTTCATTCTTGTGAGGATTTCTGTTGAGGATTGGCAGCGGGGGTGGGGTGGGGGGTGTTTGGTTTTTATTCCCCCCGTCTGCTGGGTGGTTGCAGCAGGTTTTGGTCACTTCACGTGACCCTGGGACACTGTGACCGTCATAAATATGAATCAGTTGCCAAGCATTTGAATGTAAATCCCAAGACCCTGGAGAGGCTGCAACATTCCAGCTGATCGGTGCTTCTTCTGGGCTCAGCAGAAGCACCAGGATCAGTGCTGCTTTCTAGCTGATCGGCGCTTCTTCTGGGCTCAGCAGAAGCACCAGGATCAGTGCTGCTTTCTAGCTGATCGGCACTTCTTCTGGGCTCAGCAGAAGCACCAGGATCACGCCGAGCTCCAGCTGTAGCCTGGCGCTGATCCTGGTGCTTCCGCTGAGCCCTGACAGCCCTGCAGCTCCAGCCATCTCTCGCTCAGGCTTGTGCGGTGCTGCCACCGGTTCAGCTCATTCCCCTCCCCTGCTACCACTTTTCTAGGATGGTCACGTACCACCTGCCAGGTGCCAGTGTACCACAGGTGGTACCCGTACCACTGGTTGAAAAGCCCTGTATTAGAATATTTGTCTGACTGGAATTAGTTCAGTTGCTATTCTTGAACCTTTGGGCATTTTAAAGGTTTTCAATCATTAGACCGCGAATATATCAGTCAATAAACCTGCCTTCAGTTTGTGGTCTTTAGATCAAAGCACTGAATTGCCTGGCTTAAATTTGTAGGGTGGCAACTGTGGGAATGCAGTCACCAAAAACTGAAGGAGTTCCTTTACTTTTTTTTTTTTAACGATTGGGAATATCATTGCTTTCCGGCTATGAATGAAATTAATTTATTTGCAGAATGTACTATAAAGGGCTTGAAGGAATTGTTTGGTAAATACCAAGAATTTGTAATGTTATTTCAACTTGTTACCTTAAGCCGCTGATTTTGGTGCCGCAATAAATCATAATCCTTCTTTTGAAATTTCACAGATGTTTTTATCAGACATTAGTCTATTAATTACAGTATATAGATAGGAAATTCTGTGTCGTTACTCTTTGGATGGTTTGATAATGTAATTCTACTGAAATTATTATTGTTGTTATTGTTGTTGTTGTTGTTGTTGTTATTATTATTATTATTATTATTATTATTATTACAGTCCACATCAGTTTTCTTCAGAAAACGCATTAACTTATTTGATTACAGGAATAAAAAGTCATTTCTTATATCCATGGAGTGTTATAAATGTATGGTGATGTTTGGAAACAGTCTTGTTACACCAGCAGGAAGTGTTAACGAATGTACATTATTTTAGGAAGTCTGTGTCAGATATAATATTGACTTTGGTTTCCAGAGAGAACGACTTGCTGAACAGGTTTAAAAATTTAGGAGAGGAAAAAAAAAAAGAAAAGAAACGAACCAGTTGTATTTTACAAGCATAATATCCAGCCTTAATTTATGCATCTTTTTTTCCCCCTTACTGTAAATAACTAATAACATGAATGTTTCCTTGGCATCACACGAGATCTTTTTAAAAATTATTATTATTCAGCCCAAAGGACAAGTGGGTTTCCTTTAAAAATAAAAAATTTAAAAAAATTCTGTGCACAAAAAGAGTAACGAAAGAAAAACGGCAGGTTTTTTTTTCCAGAATCGGCACAGAATCCAGGTGTTCCCCCTTAAAAAGAGGAGGGGGAGGAAGGATGGTGGAAAAAGCCTAGCTTGCTGTAGCATAAATGCATTACTTATTCATTTGTTTTGAATCTGTTGTCCCTTTCAATATGATCCTCTCTTGGAAAACGCAAGCGTCTTTGGAAGCATCTGTCTGTCTGCTTTCCCTACTTGCCTGTGATATTTTAAGCTCAGATGTCACTCCATGTGTTGCCTGCCATTCAGCTGATCCTCCACAGGCCTCATGAGAACTTCCAAAAATACTTGAAAACCTGGACAACTAGAAAAGCAGCAGCAGAAGAAGAAGAAAAAATTGTTGTCCAGGCTTAGTCAAGGACAAGCCGAAGAGGGTTAGGGTCAAACAAAGCGGGCTGGTCTTCTCCGTGTGTCTGTGCTTTTCCTAACTCTCTCTGCTCTGTTTTTCCATGCTTTTCCGGATTCAGAGAAAGGTAAAATGCTGTTTTTTCCCCTCTCCCTCCCCTCTTATTTCACTTCCTTGTCTACCTTTTGTCCTTGTGTTGCTTTGCCAAGTGGTGGGTGGAAGGTTTGGATTATGGCTTTGGCTCCTGTTGCTGATCGGATGGCAGTCTGCCGGACCTCTTGAAGCGGTCTCCGGGTTTGTTTCTGTTTTTCTTCTAAGAGAGTAAGAAAAA